CAAGCGCTGTGGTGTGCACAAGAGCTGTTGTGCCCGCAGGCACGGTGGCACAAACTGACGCTGTGTTGCACGCGGCTGCTGCGGTGTACATAGGCGGTGTGGTGCACACAGATACTGTGGCGCACACAGGCATTATGGTGCAAATCGCACATACTGGCGCTACCCGTCCTCCGTCATTCCCAGGCATTCCCAGACGCCGCCGGCGCGAAACGTGACGTCATCGACCCCCCCCCCTAGATGATTGCCGTCATCGGCCCGGAATACAAAAAACAAGCTTCAGCCGCGTGCGCGCGCACGACGACTATGAGGGACGAGCGACAAACCACGAGCGACGACGACGACAACGACGACAACGACGACGACGACGACGACGACGACGACGACGACGACGACGACGACGACTGAGGACCAGCGGATTCCTACGCGGATCCCAATGCGCACGGCGGCAATGCACGGAGCGCGCTGGGGGAGGGGAGCGTTACGTCATAGGGGGGGGGCGGGGGCCATGACACCCGTCATGCCCCGAGCAATAAAGAAACGGGCTCCAAATACTGTTGCGACACTGCCGATGAAGTAGGCGAGGTACTTGGACGACAGAGAAAAGGGCAGCAAAGCCGCCCAGGTAGGTGGCGCGTGACAAGGTGCGGCATGTTCGCGAGCAGTGTAGACTGCAACCGGCAGTATGCTGAGCCCGTGGAAGGGGCGCGCTGCGAGACCAAGCCCGGGTCCCCAACCGCGCGGGGAGGCTACGAGCTGCGGCGGCCTCGCGAACGCCATGGCGGCGCGCGGAGGGAGGGGGGAAAAGTGGGCGGCGGGGAGGGAGGGGAAAGGGAGAAGGGAACGGGGAGGAGGAACGCCCCGCCTGCGCGGAGACCCCAGCAGGTGAGGCGCCGGGGCCAGGCGGCCCAGCGCCAGCGCTTCAGCTGCCCGGCGGGCGGCCCTGGCTCCAGCAGTGGAGGCCGCGCGCCGTCGGGGTGGACAGCGCGTGGCTGGTCTAGGGGCACCTAACCGGTGGAGTTATCTGCGTCAAAACTGTGGCCGAAAGCTGTCGGGGGCCACGCGATGTCGGGGTGGACAATGTTTGCCTGGTCTACGGGTTTGTGGCGCATGGAGGAAGCAGCGGAGGAAAATGACGCCGCGCAGGCTGGGGTCGCGGGCGCCACCGCCACGCCGAGCGCAGAACCTGTGCCGGGTCGCCCCTGGTTCACCTCCTCCGCCAGCGGCCGCAGTAACCGGCTTGCGCCTCGACGCGGCGGGCTGCAAGGACGGACGCCGCGCGCCGCCCCGACTGGCGGGCAGCAGGGGCGCCGAAGGGGGCGGCGGGCCGGGCGCGGGGGGGGGGCGTTGGGGAAGGCGTCGGGGAGCCGCGAGAGACGTCGTCGCGAGGGACGTTAATCGGGGCGCCGTCGGGACATGAATCGGGAGGAGTGCAGGGCTGGGCGTCGACGGTGGCGTCGGGTGGGGCGTTGGGTCCAGGCGAATTGGCGTCGGCGTCGCTGTCGTCATTTTGGTCAGCCAAGCGGAGTCCGTCTGGCCGCTCGCGGTTGCAGCGCGGGCGTTCTTCGTTTCGCTGTCGCGCTGCGCAAGGTCGAGCTGCTGAGGTTCGTCGTGTCGTTCGCACTGTTGCTGCTGGAGTGCGTCCTGCTGCCCGCGGCCGCGTGGCAGGAGTCCGTCTTCCTGCTCCCGACGGTGCCGCTGGCGTGTGTCCTGCTGCTCGTGGCTCCGCGCCTGGGCTCCGCCGCCAGGCCGTGGCGACTAGAGATCTTCAGGACGAGCAGCGGTCGAACGGTCGACCCGTTCCTGGTCGCCCCAAGAATCCGGCCGCGGCGACGAGGGCTCTCCAGGACGCGCGACGGTGCCAGGATGTCCCCTTCCTCTGCCCCCCCCAGGACCTCCCGCGTCCCAAGGAGGTATCCCCGTCGCCCCCAGGTCCGCCCAGGCCCCTCCTGTCCTCCTCCCCGCGCGGACTCCGAGCGTCGCTGAGCGTGGCGGCGTCCTGTGCGAGGGTGCCGCCGGCTCCTCGGGGAACCGGGCGCCCCCCGGTTGGATGCCTCCTAGATGGGGTCGGAGTAGATGGGGTCGGAGGATGGCGCCGCATCGCCGATACATCGGCGATGCATCGGCGATGTATCGGCGATACCTCGGTGATGCACGGGCGATACGTCATCGACGTGGGCGGTGCATCGGCGACGCCGGCGTGGAGAAATCGGGCTCCGCATCGAGCCGCATCGTCGATGCATCGGCGATGCGGCGCGATCCTCCGACCCCATCTACTCCGACCCCATCTAGGAGGCCTAGACCGGTCAAGGGCCGCCGTGGTCCAGGGAACCGTGCGAGCCGGGTGGCGGAAGGCCGTCGTCGTCACCGTCGCAATCGTCTGGGCCCGGGGCCGTCGCGAGGCCGTCTCCCTCCGAGGGCGCGGTCGCCGCCGCCTCGGCGCGCGGGGGCCGTGCGAGCCGCCGCCGGGGGGGAGGGCGGGCAGATGGGGGCGAGCGGGCCTCGGCTGGCCGGGCGGCGCCGCGCGGCTTTTCTCCCGCCTGCCTGGCCACCTCCCTTCGGGGCGGCGGAGGCCGCAGCGACCTGCGGGCTCAGCTCCCTGGCTGCTGGGCGCAGCTGGAGCCCGAGACCCGCCAGGTAGTTGATTCGTGGCGGCCGCGCGAGCCATCGGAGTGCCTTGCCAGGGGGGCCTCTGAGCAGGCGGCCGCATCAGCCGCCCGAGCCCAGGGGCCAGGCGGTGCGTCGGTGGCGGCGTCAGCGGTCGAACCGAGGGGATCGGTCGTTCCCATCGCACTGGCCCGCTGTCTGTTGCCGCCCACCGCTTCGGCGTCTTCCTGCTGCTGCGCGCTGCCTTTGCCTGAATGACTGGGGCCGCCGGGGAGTAGACGCAACCCCGCGGCTGCCTCGTGCGCTGGCTGATCCGCCTTGCTTTCGCAGAACCCGCCCCTGGGGACGCCGTTGCTCGCGGTGCCTTTTTGATCGGCACTCCCGCTAGGTCCGCTTCTGGGTGAGCCGGGCCCAGGTGTGGCGCCGCTGGGCCCCACCGTCCTCCCAGCGGTGTCGAGTCTGGGTCCGAGGCCCACTCCCTCGCCTGACCCGGCCGGCGCGGCACCGTCCAATCCGGCCTCGGGATGGCACTCACTGCTCCCCCCGCCCCATCAACCCCTGGTCTCGTAGAGCTGTGGCGCGCCACGTTTCGTGCCGGAAACTGCGAAAAATTCTCGGCGTCGTCCTGGGGTGGGGACGTCGCGGAAAGCGGCGGGCCGCATTCCGCTTCCACACGGCGGTCCCAGGTGTGGGACCGCTGTGCGCCAGGGGAATGAGACGCGCCTAAGTCCTGTCTAGGTTCGCCGTTCGCCGCGATGAGCGCCGGTGTCGGGTGTAGGTCCGGGCCCCTCTCCTTCACCTGGCTCGTCAGTCCGGAACCCGTCCAAGGCGTCCTCACCCCGGATCCCTCCGCGCCACGCTAAGTTGAGGCGCGCCACTAATCTTGGCGAGAGACTGTGGAATGATGCCGCGCTCTCCCTGCGACCAGCAGCGAAACCGGGGCGGGGAACGCGGCGGCACAGGGAGGGCGGGCTGGGGTCCACAGAGGGGGGGTGTCCCGAGGGGCAGTAGGAGGCTCGGGGGGCACGGTGCCTGGGTCGCCCGCTGGGTCATGCTGGGGACGTCACGGCGCGGCTCGATCGTTGGTCCTGATGGCTGTCTGGGCGCCCTCGATCCGAGGGGACTGCGCGATGCCTGGGTCCTGTTCTAACCCCGTCACGCCTCGCTGGGTTGCGCCACTCGTCGCGGTGAGAAACTGCGAAGTAGTGCCGAGACCTCCCTGCAACCAGCAATGAACCCGGGGCGGGAAACGCGGCGGCGCAGGGAGGGTGGAGAGGCGATCTGGTCGTGGCGACCAGGGATCCTCAGGACGCACAGCGGTGCCAAGATCAGCCCTTCTTCCGTCCATACGGAATTATCCGACTCCACGAGAGTCCAGCCGTGGCGACGAGGGCTCTCCAAGCGCAACCCCCGCCTCCTCGTCCATCATCTCCTCGACGATCTTGTCGTCATAGCGCCCCTGCCTTCTCCACGTCGTTCATCGTGTCGTCGACCTCCTCCTTGACGCCCTCCTTCTGCACCTCCTCCTGGGCCTCCACCTTCTTGGCCTCCACCTCCAGGTGCTCCACGTCGTCATCGACCTCCCTCCTCCCCCACCACATCCTTCAAGTCGTCGACCTCCTCCTTGACCCCTTCCTTCTGCACCTCCTCCTGGGCCTCCACCTCCTAGGCCTCCACGTCCAGGTGCTCCACGTCGCCATCGACCTCCCCCACCAAATCCTTCAAATCGTCGACCTCCTCGTTCACATCCTCGTCGATGTCGTCGTCGATCACCTCCTCCGTCGCGTCGCCGTCGCCCTCGCCCCCAACGGACTCCACCTCCTGCGCCACCTCCACGTCGCCAACGACCTCCTCCACCACGTTATCCAAATCCACCACCGCGGGCGAGGCCGGCTCGGCTCGACTTGAACCAGACCGGCCTTGAGCCAAGAGGCTACCTACACACACGCACACACAAACACACCCTCACAAACACAAACACAACGATAATCACAAACACAATCGCAGCAAACAACACACACACAACACACAAACACAATCACACACAAGCACACACATTCACACACTAACACAAGCACAAACACAAGCACAAACACACCCACACGCACATGTTTTAGTCTGCGAGACGGTCAGGCGCTGGTCAAAGCGAGCGGTGGGATGCACTGGAGGCGAAGGGAGGCACGAAAGCGGAAGAGAAAAGAACGCGAAAAGAGAACACACACACACACGCACGCACGCACGCACGCACACGCACACGCACACGCACACGCACACGCACACGCACACGCACACGCACACGCACACGCACACGCACACGCACACGCACACACACACACACTCATTGGGCTGACACGCATCTTGGGCAGGATCCAGCTCTCCCTCCCTCTCCCTGGTTCCTTGGGCGGGAGCACCACGCCGCCCGTGTCGTCGAACAGCGCCTTGGGGCCCGTAGCGCCACCCCTGGGAGGGCCTGCGGCGCCAGCCTCCGCCTCGAGATGAACAACCACAGCAATAACAACACCAACACCAACACCAACACCACCGACAACACCAACATCAACATCAACACAAACACCAACACCAACAACAACAATAATTGTAACAACGACAACAACAATCACTTTAGGACTGCTCGCTCTGACTGGCACGCGTGTCTTGCATTCCATTGTATACCCCAACCCTCGATACCCGTCCACTTCGTCTTCGATCGCACCCCCTTTCGGGGGGAAATCTCTTCCTTGTCGGCCACTGACTGAAGTGCGAGGAACGCGGGGGCCTCTCTGGCCAGGGGCCCTCTGACTACATATATAGAGAAAGATCGAACGGGAACCCTTGTCGTCGTGTCTGGGTCTCCACCAACTTGCCAGAATTACGAAACAATTCTCGAGCGCCGCTCTTGAGTTCGGGGGCCTCGCTGGCCAGGGCCTCTGGGAATACATCTTGAGGAAGTATCGAACGAGAGCCCTTGTCGTCGTAGTTGGGCCTCCACCAATCTGACTGAATCGCGAGAAACTCTCGAGCGAGAGCGCCGTTCCTGAGTTCGGGGGCCTCGCTGGCCGGGGCCTCTGGGAATACATCTTGAGGAAGTATCAAACGATAGCCCTTGTCGTCGTAGTTGGGCCTCCCCCAACTTTACCGACTGAGTTGCCAAGAGGTGTCGAGCGAGAGCGCCGGTTCTGAGTTCGCAGGCCTCGGTGGCCAGGGTGTCTCGGGGTAAACTGTGGGGAAATATCGAGCGGGAGCCGTTGTCGTTGTAGCTGGGCATCCAAGGGAACACATTTACGATCGAGCCCGCGCTCAAACGGGAGCCTCGTTTTCAGAGGGATTGCAGCCGGCGTCGAGGCGAGAGCGTGCAGAACCGTTTCCAGAGATCAACCATAATTATTCTCTAGTCTAGAAATGTAGAGTCAAACAACAACAACAACAACAACAACAACAACAACAACAACAACAACAACAACAACAACAACAACAACAACAACAACAACCATAACCATAACCACAACCACAACCACAACCACAACCACAACAACAACAACAACAACAACAACAACAACAACAGCAACAGCAACAGCAACAGCAGCAGCAGCAGCAACAACAGCAACAACAACAACACTAATAACACGAATGACAATAACAACAACATTAATCATGTTAAGACTTTCGCTCCGATCTGCTCACGTGCCAATCAACACGTGTATACCAAACCCTCGGTACCCGCCCTCGTCGTCTTCGATCTTACCCTCTTGGGGGTATATCTCCTTTACCTGCCATGTGCATTTAGTGCAGCCCCCAAAAAACAAGTGAGGAGAGGACGGGTGGAAGGGGAGGGGGAAGAATGGGGCACGAGAGAAATTAGCAGGAGGGGTGCAAGGAGCGGAAAACAAGTGGTAGAACCAGACGGGCAGATCGGGTGGGCAGACCCATAGCGAGCAGGTCGGGAAGGCGGGCCCAGGCGACAAGGTCGAGCAGGCGAGTTGCTGAAGCGTGGGTCCTGCATGAATCGCGACGAAGTCTCGAGCGATAGCGCGATTCCCAAGTAAATCGTGAGACAACCCAAAGCGAGAGTGTGATTCCTGAGCGCCGAAAGCGCATCATTTGAATCAATTTGAAGGAAGTCCCACGCGAGAGCGCGATGCGTACATGAATTGTGGGGAAGTCCCGCGCGAGAGCGCAACTTGAGAAAACATTGCGAGGAAGTATCAGGCGGGGGCTGTTGTTGTTGTTGTTGTTGTTGTTGTAAACTGGGGGCCAGGGGCCGAGCTTGAGCCCCGTGACTTTTCCTGATGAAAAAAAGTTGCGAGCCCCGGGGGAAGCACTTCAATTGAAGAAACACAAGGGTCACCTGAGGGGGGGAATCAACAATAATTATGACTCAGTGTATGAGAGTTCAATAACTACTACAACAACATAATGTTCGGAGGTCCGCGCGGACTTCTTAGACTGGCGCTGGAGCCCCTCCCTGGCACGCGGAGCGCGCGCCGGGGGGCGGCGGAGACGCCGCCGGGGGTCCCTAGCGACGATCCGAGAACTCCGCGCGGACTTCCGACAACTTGTGTCGGCTACACGCAGGAGTGACCCCATGGGTAAGAGTGACCTTTGCTGCGCGGCTTTTGGGGGGCCGCGGGGGACCAAACACAAGCGCACAAGACGCTGCTGCCGCAGCGCGCTCGGCGATCGGGGGGCCCCGGTGGGCCTGCACCAAAGGGCACTCTGGCGAAGGGTCACTCTTGCGTGTAGTCGACTATGTTAATCCATGGAGCCTCTGCCTCCGCCTCGCCGCCGCCCGCCGCGGGCAGGCCGGGCGGGAGGTCGGGGTCTGGGTCGACGGCCGCCTCGCGCGCCGGAGGGGCCGCGGCGGCACCGGGGTCCTGCGGCGAGGACAGTGCCGCCCGCGGCCGAGCCAGAGGAGGAGGGGTTTCTGCGGGCATTTCCTTAGGGTAGAGGTCTTAGGGTGAAATCCATGTGGGCTTTTGCACCTCACAAATAAATCCGTCTTGTGATTCACCTTTTGCGATTCAAGCCTCGAAATAGAATCAAACGGCATTTCATATTTCACCCTTTGCACTCCACCCAAAGAAAATGCTCGGTTTCTTTTCCACCGCATAACAATCGCCCACCTCTACCTCTTGACTGTCACACACGACAGCGAAGCTGCGCTGCAGCGTGAGACAGTGTATCAGAGCGGACGCCGAACGGTAGAGTCGACGAACCCATGGGTATCATCGCACTGGCCGTGAAGCGAAAAGAAAGAGGAGACGAGATATGAGACGGGCCCCGCCAGCGGAGGAGGAGGAGGAGGAGGAGGAGGAGGAGGAGGAGGAGGAGGAGGAGGAGGAGGAGGGGGCGATCTGAGGGCCTGGTCCTCTGTGGACCCTGAGATCCTGGCGTTGCAGAGTGTCCACGGTGGCGGGCGGCTTTGCCCGTTTCGGGCCCCATGGCCCTCAAAGATCGATCCGGTTCGGAGGCAGAAAGATAGGGTCTGGGGCTTCGGTTGCAATGTTTCGCAATGTTGCCATGGTTTGCAACGCCGGATCTCAGGGCAGACCCTGCTCGGCCCCGGACGGCCTCCTCCCTGGCCTGGCGGGGAGCTCTTTTCCTAGAAAGCTCTCCGCGCAGGAGTTCGCCAACGAGCCACCAGTGCCGAAGCACATTCGAGGAATGGCCTGTCGGGCCCCAGATCCTGGCGGCCGCCCCACCCCCCCGCAGAATGAGAGGACGACCGACCAATGTTGACTCCCGAAGCTTGCGGAGAGAAAACGGAATCAACTTCGGGCCTACAGACCTCGCGTCGCGGTAAAGTCGCGACGGGCTCTCTCTTCCTCAATCTTGGCCCCTGCCCTCTGGTGGCCCATTTCGGACCCCAACCCAGACATGCGATGTCAATATGTTTCGGTCCAAGGCCGCGCTCATGGCGTGCTTGGTTAACGGTGCGGTTGGGAATCTGATTTTTGTGAAACCGAGCTCACGCATAACCAAATGTAGGAAATCACGAAACACCGTTTCCTGCATGTCAAATGTGCGACTGTATCGAACGAAAACGACACAACGAGTTGTAGGAAAACACGAACCACGAGGTCCTACAAGTGGTTGGCCACGAACCACGCTTTCCTACAATTGGTCTTCCTACATCGCCATTAGCTAACACACCGTTAGCGCGTTTACGGTCAATGCTGGGTTCATGGAAATCTCGACCCTTTCCCCGGGGCCGGTTGTTCATCCCGAGTCGTTTCTTGACGCTCCCGTGGCCCGGCGAGAGCCTCTGGAGGCCCCAAACGACGAACAATAACCTTTCCCCGCCCTAACTTTTTTGTCACGACGCGAACACGTCTGGGCAACCTTTCCGAACACGTGTCGGAATGAGAAGCCGGCCTCTGGGGAAGCGCTCGAGAGCTCTGGAGGGACGTCCACGTCACGAGCAGGAACCATTGGCGTCGGAGGAGGAGGGGTGTCCATCGAAGGCTCCCACGCCTCCCGCAGGGTACGAATTACTTTGGGCCCTCGGGGGCAGAGATCCGTTCCAGGAAGCCGTGGGGTGCGGAGGAGGGAGAAGGGATGTTATTTGGACGCTGGCTGGCGTCTGGCCTCATCTCCCTTCAAAGAACACTCAACGAACGACGACAGGGCCCGCAAAGGACCGAAACACGGGACGAAGGACGGAGAACCAAGACCCAGAACGAAACTGGCCGAAAGGACCGACCGAAGGATGGGGGAAGGGACGCGTCTTCGCGAGAGGCAGAGGGGGAGGGAGAGGGACGCATCTCAAGATTCAAACCTAGGGGGGGGGTCCAGACACCTGCCCCCCCAAACAAAAATGCCACCGCTGGGGCACGTTTTTATAGTTCTGCGAGCTTCCCCTAGCGGAAACCGCCTCATTGTATTCCCGCCGGCCTTCCGCTGGGCAACAGGTACCGAGTCCCATTCCTCGGAGTCGAGGCCCTCTCTGAAATGCCCCAGCACGTAGAGTGGGAGTGCACGCCCAACAACCCACAGCGTTGACGTCGTCATTTGCTCACAGCATGGACTCCCCGCAGACCTCGACCCACTCCCTGGGACTGGCTGCTCATCCTGAGTACACGTCGTTCATTTCTAATTGCGCTCATTTCTAATTCTCCTCGTTCCCAATTGTTCCTGGCCCCCCAGTGGCCAGGACGAGGCCCAGGACAGAACAATCAGAATTGAGAGGAGCTTGGCCCCCAAAAAAATCAAAGAACCCTCGAAGAGTTAGAAATGAAAGGATCTTGGCCCCCTACAGAAAATTCAAGAGCCTGCAGAGAATCGGGAGCGAGCAGTGTGCAGCCTTCTGACGGCCCCGGAGCCTGTTTCCGCAGGATGCTCCAGGATGCTCCTTCATAACCCCCGCCGAGAAACAGTGCACACGTCCGAGCGATACCAAAGGGTTTGGGAGCTCGGCTCCCCGAGCCCAGCGCGCCCCGACGGCGCACGACGGCGGGGCCTCGGCCGCGCCGCCGGAAGCAGGCCCGAGCCGCGGGCGGCGATGCGCCGCCGATCCGTCGGCCACGGGTTCCACGCTCTGGCCATCGCTCGGACGTCCATTCCCTGTTTTTTTTTGGTTTCGTGCGTGGTCTTTTCGCCAAATGATCAAGGATGCTCCTCGATGGTCCTCGCCGAAGAAAACATGCACACATCCGAGCGATGCCAAGCGCTGGCGGATGCGCGCTCCTTCCTGGGCGGGGTGGGCTCTCGGGCGCCTCTCGGCGAAGGATGGGCGACTTGGGGGTCGATGCGCCCCCCTCGCTCCCTGGGGCCTACGATCAGGTCGGGCCTGTCCCCCTACACGGGGGATTTTGGACGAAAGATAAAGAAGTACCCCAAGCATATTCCCAAAATGCTCAACAATGATCAAAACATTGTCCTCAGACTGTTTTTACTATTTTTGAATATTCCCTCTGTAGAGGGACAAGCCCGACTTACGCCTACGATCAGAAACTCTTGGGTAGCGTGTCGCCACGGCGGCCCTGGCGACACGCCATGCCCTGAGAGTGGAAAGCGTGCCGGTCCGCTCCGCGGGGCGGGAGGCTCGCGAAAGCTCGATTCATTGGCGCCTCGGGACCGTGAGGTGGATGGCGTGTCGCCCCGCAGCGCGGTGAGGCAGAACGGGCGCAACGACACGCCATCCCACAGCTCCCGACCGTATCCCCCACACACGGCGCCCCTGGCCAAAAAAACACCTCGACGACGCCCGGACTCAGCGGCGACGACGGGGGTGAATAGCGCAAGGACGGGCATTACGCGCATTCGCCCGCGATCCTCGCCGAAGGCATGGACCGTCAGTGCTCCTGCATGCATGCATTGCTCTCCCTTGGGCTATTGGCCCTCATCGTGGCCCCCTCGGCTACACGCAAGAGTGACCATATGCAAGAGTGGCCTTCGTTGCGAGACTTCTGGGGGGTGCGAGGGGGCCAGACTCAAGCACGCAAGACGCTACAATCGTATTGCGTTCGGCGATCGACGGGCCCGAGTGGGCCCGCACCAAAGGTCACTCTGACGAAGGATCACTCGTACGTGCAGTCGACCCCCAAGTAAAAACATGAAGTAGGAAGGCGGATAAAGCAGGCTGGGTTCAGACCCTCCCAGATAATAACAACACGCAACAAAACACACATCGACTCTAGAAACAGGTCGGCGCTGGAGGTAGATTCGGATCTTGGCATCCCGGAATACCTACTTGCAACGACCGCCGTGTCTTGCTCTCTTTCCCGGGCTGTTGGGCCCCCCTCGCCTTCGGTCGGGCATGTCACGAAGCATAAAACATTGCCAAACCATATTCCAAAATGGACAAACGTGGTCCAAGAGTCGTCCCCAGACTGTTTTAAACTATTTGGGAGCATTCCTCCTGTAGAGGGACAGGCCCGAATCAGGGAAACGAGCTCTATACACCGACGCTTTTCCCGATCCTGCGCTGAAATTCGCACCGGGTCGCGGATTCTGGTGTATACGGGATCCTGGTGTATACATTTCTCATTGTTTTCCCCGGACATCGGGGAAACAACATACACCACACCACCCCAGCGTCGTCCCCGACGTTAAAAAAAGTCCCGGGATTCAAGGAACAGCCCGCCACTGGTAATATATACGTTCCAGTTTCCGACGAATATCGAAAGAGTGTCGAAACAGTGCCGGGCGAGTGTCTCCCAGGGCCCGACACGTGAAAAACCCTGAGTTTTTGGGTACTTTTTCTGGCGCCCGAAATTCCTTCTGGTGCTCGAGGCTAAAGTAGGGTGGAGCGTCATCATCCTCCTGTGGAGGGACAGGCCCGAATTCAGCCTCGCCGCCCCCGATCTCGGGGATCTTCTGACCCGGGTCAATCCAGACCCGGGTCAGCAGGAAACCAAAAAACTGCAATGCGGGACAAAAAACTGCAACGCAGGTCTTCGCAAACCCGGGTCAGCCAAGACGCGCGGCCGCCTCGCGGCCACGAGCGGCTCGCCAACCCGGGTCAGCCAGAAGGGGTCTTCGCAGGATCCTGCAGGATCCGGTGCCCTGGCTGACCCCCGTTTGCATGGACCCCCGCCTCATGGACCCCCGCCTCTTGAGCCCCGACGACCGACGGCGAGGCCTTGCCCGCGCCGCCGAAGCTGGCCCGCGCCGCGGGCGGCGAGGCCGCGGCTCGCGGCGCCCTGGCGGCCGGCGCGGCGGCGGCGGGCCGGGCCAGGGCGGTGGCGGGCGGCGCGGCGCCGGGCGCGGCGCCCGCCTGGGGCCTCCTGGGGGAGCGCCAGTGGGACGCACAGAGACATGGCTAATTACTCGGGGGGAGGAGGAGGAGGAGGAGGAGGAGGAGGAGGAGGAGGAGGAGGAGGAGGAGGAGGAGGAGGAGGAGGAGGAGACGGAGACGGAGGAGGTGGAGGTG